TATGTTATTGTGCCTTAAAATGCATTATAAGAATAAATGTATTCACAAAGTCAGATTGTTCTTGGTTTCCCCCATATTTCCCTGTGTTACATGTTCATTGTAGAAATATGGCAGTGGAAGGAATTTAACTATGCTATTGTAGAAGAATATAGAAATGGTTATGTGAAATTGCTGATTCACAGTGAAAACAGCTCCTGTTACAGCTCATAAAAAATTTAGTGGATCCATACTTCGACAGTCAGAATGTCCAGTTGTGAATATTTTAGTGTTTCAGTGTCTGAGATATGCTTATTGTAAACTCTTCTTAATGGAATTTGTTATTACCAAAAACAGACAACTATGATCTTGTCTCCACTGCATTTGGGAAGGAATGGTGAAGTAACCTGTATGATGTAGAATTGTTTCCTGGGCCCAGAATAAATCCATTTAGAGACTGACCACAGACGGGTTTTTACTCATCAACCATTTAATTAAATGTTAGGTATAAGAAGCCATACAAACCACGTTCGGTATGTCCGCCTGCATTGGCTCAATCTTTAGGCCACACACATTGGCACAGGGAGTGGACACTTGAAAAAGTCCAAGTGGGCCCTTAATGATGACAAAAAAAACACACAGGAGCATATGGATCCCATTGACAAGTTGAAGTATCAAGCCTTTGCTGACTGGACATACTGACTGGAAAGCTGTCTCAGAGATTTCAGTGTGAGAGAAACAGCCGTTTATTTAAGTATATGTTAGATGTTTTATAATGGCTCTGGTTATTAAAAATAACGGAATATTTCTAACCATTATTACAATTTGCTTTCTTAATATTGTAAGAAGAAAGCATAGCCTAATCATAAATCACTTTCAAAATGACAGTTTGATTTGTGGGAAAACAACACATCAGGGTTTTTAGTTGAAAAACTGAAAATTAATTGCCAACTGTTTTAAAAATAGATTTTAAATCCTTTTGAATTTGTTGCTTTCTTTTGTCATGTGTGATATAAAAATGTAATACTTTTGGGGTTTTGCGTCACTTCAGGTCATTTTATTAGACAAGCAAAATAATATGGAGAAAATAAGTAGCTGATTAATCAATAATAAAAAAATCATTGTTAGTTGCAGCCGTAATGTAAAGACACAACACAGTAGAACTAAAAGGCAAAGATAGGACTTTTTCCTTGTTATCTAGCCCAACTGCGCTACCTGCAGGTGGGAGAGGTGTTTTGTAATGGTGATTAAAAATAATTGAATAATACTAACCATTATTACATTTTGCTTTCTTAACATTGTAAGAAGAAAGCATAGCCTAATCATGAATCACTTTCAAAATGACAGTTTGCAAACTTTATTGTATTGTAAGTTCATTTGGCACTGAAAATTTGTGAAAGAAAATAATTCTTGGCATCAGTGAGTGGACAAAAAGGAATTCAGAAGTAGTGAAACCATTTTAACTGAAACCACAAGATGGCAGTATGTGTACAGTGAAATGTTAAAATAGTTTTGTGCACTCAGTACAGTCTTGTGAAACTAGATTTGAAGTGGTTTTTGCTCAGAAACCCCAGCAGCATAAACAGACCACTCCTGTAGAAGCACATTTCAAGATGTGTTATTTTCAAATGATTAATAATGACTATATAGAAAACATAACTGTGTTTAGCAATGTGTAATTGTATTCACAGCACAATATTTGAGACTAATAAAAGGTTGAATAGTTTTGTTACAGGCACAGCAACTGAGATAAAATGATATTTTTTGTTGGGAAACAACAGTTTATTAAAATATATATTTTTAGAAGTCCTTGCCAATTCTTCAAAAACTATCCATCCATCCATCCATCCATCCATCCATCCATTTTCCTCCGCTTATCCGGGACCGGGTCGCGGGGGCAGCAGCCTAAGCAAAGATGCCCAGACTTCCCTCTCTCCAGACACTTCCTCCAGCTCCTCCGGGCGAATGCCTCGGCATT